TAACAAGATCAGAAATGAAAAGGGAGACATAACCACAGACACAGAGGAAACTCAGAAAAGCATTAGATCTTACTACAAAGGCCTGTATGCCACAAAATTGAAAAATATTAAAGAAATGGGCACTTTTTTAGATAAGTACCATATACCAAAGTTAGACCAGGACCAGGTGAACAATCTAAATAGACCTGTTAGTCACAAAGAATTAGAAGTTGTTATAAAAAACCTCCCTACCAAAAAAAGCCCAGGTCCAGACGGTTTCAATGCAGAATTCTACCAGAACTTCCAAGAAGACCTAATACCTATACTCCTTTAATGTATTTCACAATATAGAAACAGAAAAGTCATTGCCAAATTCCTTCTGTGAAGCTACAGTTATCCTGATACCAAAACCACACAAAGGCTCAACCAAGAAAGAAAATTACAGGCCAGTCTCACTCATGAACATCGATGCGAAAATCATCAATAAAATACTGGCAAACCGAATCCAAGAACACATTAGAGAAATTATCCATTATGATCAAGTAGGCTTCATCCCAGGAATGCAGGGCTGGTTCAACACACGAAAATCTATCAATGTAATCTATCATATAAATAAACTGAAAGAAAAAAACCATATGATCATTTCATTAGATGCTGAAAAAGCATTTGACAAAATTCAACATTTCTTTATGATAAAGGTCTCAGAGAGATTAGGGATACAATGGTCATACCTAACTATAATAAAAGCTATTTATAGCAAGCCGACAGCTAACATCAAATTAAATGGAGAGAAACTAAAAGCCATTCCACTAAAATCAGGAACATGACAAGGCTGTCCACTCTCTCCATACCTCTTCAATATAGTCCTTGAAGTTCTAGGAATAGCAATAAGACAACATAAGGGGATCAAAGGAATTCGAATTGGTAAGGAAGAAATTAAACTTTCATTATTTGCAGATCATATGGTAGTGTACATAAGCGACCCCAAAAGCTCGACCAAAGAACTCCTACAGCTGATAAACACCTTTAGTAGCATGGCAGGATACAAAATCAATTCCAAAAAATCAGTTGCCCTCCTATACACAAAGGATAAGGAAGCAGAGAGGGAAATCAGAGAAGCATCACCTTTCACAATAGCCACAAATAGCATAAAATATCTTGGGGTAACTCTAACCAAGGAAGCGAATGATCTATTTGACAAGAACTTTAAGTCTTTGAAGAAAGAAATTGAGGAGGATACCAGAAAATGGAAGGATCTCCCTTGCTCTTGGATTGGGAGGATCAACATAGTTAAAATGGCAATTCTACCAAGGGCAATTTATAGATTAAATGCAATCCCCATTAAAATCCCATCGAAATTCTTCACTGATCTTGAGAAGACATTAATCAACTTTATATGGAAAAACAAAAAACCCAGGATAGCCAAAACAATCTTATACAATAACGGAACTTCTGGAGGCATTACCATCCCTCACTTCAAACTCTATTACAGAGCTTCCTTCAGTATTGAAAACAGCTTGGTATTGGCATAAAAACAGAGAAGTCAATCAATGGAATAGAGTAGAAGACCCAGATTTTAACCCACAAACCTATGAACATTTTTGATAAAGGAGCTAAAAGTATTCAATGGAAGAAAGAAAGCATCTTCAACAAATGGTGCTGGCAGAACTGGTTGTCAACCTGTAGAAGAATGAAAATAGATCCATATCTATCACCATGCACAAAACTCAAGTTCAAATGGATCAAAGACCTCAATATCAGGCTGAACACACTGAACCTAATAGAAGAGAAAGTGGGAAGTACTCTATAACATATGGGCACAGGAGATCACGTCCTACATATATCCCCAGCAGCACAGACATTAAGGACAACATTGAATAAATGGGACCTCCTGAAACTGAGAGGCTTCTGTAAAGCAAAGGACACTGTCACTAAGACAAAAAGGCAGCCCACTGACTGGGAGAAGATCTTCACCAATCCTGCAATAGACAAAGGTCTGATCTCCAAAATATATAAAGAACTCAAGAAACTAGACTTTAAAATGCTAATTAATCCAATTAAAAACTGGGGCACTGAACTGAACAGAGAATTCTTGACAGAAGAAATTCAAATGGCCAAAAGACACTTAAGGTCATGCTCAACCTCCTTGGCAATCAGGGAAATGCAAATTAAAACAACATTGAGATAAGATCTTACACCTGTCAGAATGGCTAAAATAAAAAACACCAATGATAGCCTTTGCTGGAGAGGTTGTGGAGTAAGGGGTACACTCATCCATTGCTGGTGGGAATGCAAACTTGTACAACCACTTTGGAAATCAGTGTGGCGGTTTCTCAGGAAATTTGAGATCAACCTACCCCAAGATCCAGTAATTCCACTCTTGGGAATATACCCATGAGATGCCCTTTCATATGACAAAAGCATTTGTACAACTATGTTCATAGCAGCATTATTTGTAATAGCCAGAACCTGGAAACAACCTAGATGCCCTTCAATAGAAGAATGGATGAAGAAAGTGTGGAACATTTACATATTAGAGTACTACTCAGCGGTAAAAAAACAATGACTTGGTGAATTTTGCATGCAAATGGATGGAAATAGAAAACACTATCCTGAGTGAGGTATCCCAGACCCAAAAAGATGAACATGGGATGTACTCACTCATAATTGGTTTCTAGCCATAAATAAAGGACATTGAGCATATAATTTGTGATCCTAGAGAAGCTAAATAAGAAGGTGAACCCAAAGAAAAACATATACTCATCTGCCTGGATATGGGAAGTAGACAAGATTGCCGGGAAAAAACTGGGAATTTGGGGGTGAGGTGGTATGGGGCTAAGGGGAATTGGGGTGAGAAACGTGAGAAGAGGAGGATTGGGGGAGCTTAGGGGAATGGAATGGGATGGGGGAATGGGATGGGTGGGACACGGGAGCAGAGAAATATATATCCTAATTAAGGAAGCCATCTTAGGGTTGGCAAGAGCCTTGACTCTAGAGGGGCTCGCAGGTGTCGAGGGAGATGACCCCAGATAGTACCTTGGGCAACTGAGGAGAGGGAACCTGAAATGACCCTATCCTATAGCCATACTGATGAATATCTTGCATATCACCTTAGAACCTTCATCTGGCGATGGATCAAGATAGAGACAGAGACCCAAATAGGAGCACCGGACTGAGCTCTTAAGATCCAAATGAGGAGCAGAAGGAGGGAGAACATGAGCAAGGAACTCAGGACCACGAGGGGTGCACCCACCCACTGTGACAGTGGAACTGATCTATTGGGAGCTCACCAAGGCCAGCAGGACTGGGACTGAATAAGCAAGGGATGAAACCGAACTTTCTGAACATGGCAGACAATGAAGGCTGATGAGTAGCCAAGGACAATGGCACTAGGTTTTGATCCTAATACATGAACTGGCTTTGTGGGAGCCTAGCCTGTTTGGATGCTCACCCTCCTGGACCTGGATAGAAGTGGGAGGACCTTGGACTTCCCTAGGGCAGGGAATCTGGACTGCTCTTCATTCTCGAGAGGGAGGGGGAATAGAGTGGGGGGGAGAGGGGGAGGGGGCAGTGTGTGGGAGGAGGGGTGGGAAATGGAAAATGGGGAGGAGGCTGGAATTTTTTTTCTTCAACAACTAAAGAAAAAAAAAAGACATTGACCATCTATATCCCACTATTGCAGTAAAAAATTATAAACAGTAATCAGAATCAAACCATAAAAGGTGACAAGGATTTAAATAGTCAAAGAGAATTATCATCTAAAGCAGAAGAAAAAATGGTTTAATGGAAATGAAATTATAGGAGGCACTTATGGATTGTTTGGATGTGAAGTTTGATTACATTCAAGACTTTTTTTGATACAGGTTTCTTTGTTGCTTTGGAATGTGTCCTGGACAAGCTCTTCTAGACCAGGCTGGCCTTGAACTCCACCTGCCTCTGCCTTCCAAGTGCTGGGATTAAAGGCTTGAGCCATCACCTCCTGGCCTTCATTCTAGACATTTTATATTCTATGTATTTCCTATAGAAATTTTACTGCAGAGGAAAGATATTATCTTATAATCGATATTTTAAACATATAAACATACTAAAAAACTAAAAAGTTATGTGGAAAAAAACTGAGTTGTTTTTAAAAAGAAAACTGAAACTTCATCTATTAGCAAGAATTTACCAAGGTTAAATTGTAGCATGTTTTACTAATGTTGAGATTGAATCATTATGGACAGGAAGTGAACATTGGAAAAGAGCTTACAGTAATTTCTTGGGAGAGATTAACAACAAATATCCCTTTAGCCATAATATTAATGATCATACAGGGAAGTAACTAATTCTAGGGAAAGGTTTCATCTAGCTTCCTGTATTTAATTTTGGGCTTGAGTCTCTATCTGTTATCTAGGCATACATAACAAATACTCATCCTTTAACCTCTTACATATCTGCAGCATGTGACAATTAAAATGCTTAAGTTTTTTGCAATGAAATATGAGCGTGCATTACAGTGACCTTTGAAGTCTCCAAAAGAAGTGTGAGTCACGCAAGGAAGATTTCAACTGCACTATGTTATTGTTTCACCATCTAAACATCAGGTTTGGACTACAAACTGCTCGGGACAATATCAAAATGGTACATTGAGATGATTGAGACTACTGGGAACATATGTTTTAATGAAGCAAACAGTTCATTTTGGAGGTTTGAGGAAGAGATGATGGGCAAAAACACAGACAGGTTGAATGACGGAATTGAATCAAAGAGTCAGATATTAATCCTCCCATCTATGAACACCTGATTTTTGACAAATAAGCTAAAATTATACAATGAAAAAAGAAAGCATCTGCAACAAATGGTTATGGCATAACTGGATATCAACATGTAAAGGACTGCAAATAGATCCATATCTATCACCATGCACAATACTCAAGTCCAAAGGGGATACAGACCTTAATATGACTCGGACCACACTGAAACTGATAGGAATGTGAATAGTAGCCTTCCAAGCATGGAACAGAAGATCAGTTCCTAAATATAACACCTGTAACACAGAGTCTGAGAGAAAAAATAAATAAATGGGACCTTCTGAAACTGAGAAGCTTCTGCAAAGCAAAGGACACAGCCAATAACACAATAAGGAAGCTTATTGAATGGGAAAATAAATTTCCAATCCCATATAAGATAGAGGACTGATCTCCAAAATATATAAAGAACTCAAGAAATTAAACATCAAAATTTCAAATAATTCAATTAAAAATGGGGTACAGAACTAAACAGAGAATTTTCTATAGAATAATCTCAAATGGCCAAAAGACACTTCAGTTTCTCCATGTTACTCAAGTGTAAATCTTCTCTTAGGCCTGCCTTAGGAATCCTGACTCCTATCTGTCCAGAGTCCTCCAAACCTCTATGGTAAATTTTAGTCAGGTAGTGATTAGCTCTGCTGTAATGCTAAGGAAGCTTTATTGTCAGAATATAATCAAAATATCACACATTTCCCTATTTGTCTAATTAAAAAGTGAAGGTTTTAACTATCACAGTAAAGCTATATACACTAAATACAATAACTATATATAATATATACAGGAAAGAATTATACTAACAATGTCCAATCCATTTGCATTTGGAAAATTTAGAGAAAATATTTGATCATCTATCCTATCTTAGTAAGCCCAAGGTGTTGTACCTAAATTACTTTTTATCCTAACTGGTATTACTAACCTTAAATAATCTTTCTGTCTCTTAGTCTTATATACTTTATACATTTTTAGTTCATCTTTTTTCAATTTGTTAACATGCATAATTACAATTATCGAGTCTTTAGCTCCATCAAGGAACCCAGAAGGATATATTACCTGAGTAAACAGAGAGTATAAAGCAAACAACATTTAAAATGAAGAAACAACACCACCTGCCTATTTAAAATAAATTTTTGCCAGGCTTTAGTGGTACATGCTGTTAATCCCAGCACTTTCATAGAGGAGGCAGATATATCTCACTGAATTAGAGGCCAGCCTGTTCTACAAAGTGAGTTCCAGGAAAACCAGAGGAACAAAAAGGAATCTATCTTTAAAAAAAAAAAAAAAGTATTTTTGTTTCACATTGAAAACACACCTAACATGATTATAAGCATGTTTATAATAAGTGACTGTTAGGCCAATTTATTCTTTCGAAAGGGGATATTTTATTTGGATGATGTGGGTTTTTTTAGATATCTCAGTTGTCTAGTGGTTTTTAGATTCCTTAGTTTGATGTTTTCATACTTTACTAAGGCAAAACAAAACTCTGCCTTAACCCTAACTTTATGGAGTTTTATTTTTGGAAATTCTATTTAATCAAAAGGAAAACATCTGTTAGTCTTATGAATTAGCTAAGATTGAATGATAATGCTCTCTGATGAACTATTGTCTCTTTTACTCAAGAGATCTTTTTGTTTGAAACTAATCTTTAAGGATTTAAGTGGTCTCTGTAACTTTATTCCCCAATTTAATACATACCTTGGTTTTTATTCTGAATGAAATGTATCTTAAAAGCATACAAGTTGGTTTAATTTCCAGGGCTTTTTTTATTATCTAATGTTTACTCACACCTGTTGTTTCTAGTTTATTAGCATTTAAAAATTTAAAAGTTAATAATCTATTCTGTAACATATCTCTGCGGGCCTTGATTACCACTTTCTATTAACTGAGCATATATTTTAAAATGTCTGATGAAGTGTAAATCTAAGTAATTTTTTTAATCCCAAAATAACCTAAAAATGATTTAAAATTTACTTCTGTTACATGGCATAGAGCAGAAGATGTGGATTGTGCCCTATCTACCTGTCTAACACATTGCACACCTGAGAAATCTCTGCACATCAGAAACTCCTTCTGTCCCCTGGAACTGAGCTTCACTGGATCCCACCATTGCAGCTAGTGGTAACACCATGTTAAAAGCACTCTACTCTACTATTGCTCTACCAGGTCCTAAACAATTTGTAATCTTTATAACATAAACCTGAAATTGGAATGCAATATTCAGAACTTCTAGAAACTAAACCTTCAGTTTTCTAATCTCTCTTCCCACTGCACAACAAAAGCAGTGCCCATGTGTGTACTCTGGACAGAGATAGAACCAGCATCATTTCCTTCCATTCCAGGGCTGCAGTATTTCTATACACAAAGAGGCTCAGAGAACAAGGGCCACTGCCACCATGAACCACATGGACCAATATAACTGAAGTCTAGCTCATGGTACTTCCAAGTATCAGCAGAAATGACATTTCAACAGACCTGCTCTGAACACCCACCCCCACTCATTATGGGATAGCTTATGGCCTTCCTTACCACCCCCTACTGCAGAGACAAAAGAGAATCATGAGAACTCACAACTTGTCTGCCACTATTACTCTTGATTTCTAACCCGTCCCAGAATCCCTCACTAGCTAGGGCCACCCAGCTGGGCCTCTCAATATTAGCAGCTCCTCTACAGGAGGATCAGAGATCAAATGACTCAGACAGCACAATCCTTCCAGTCCTGCCCTCCCAGCCCAGCAGACAGGGTCCCAGTTTAGACAGTTTGTATTTAGTACACATTTTCCCACTCCCCTATAGCACATCCTCTTCCTCATCTAAAGCACAGGGTCCTTTGTGTGCACATTCCATCACATACTCACTTTCCAGTGCAGCCATCCCACTGACTCAGAGATGGGAAATCCTGCAGATAAACACAGGTCACAGTCATAAAGTAACTACTGTTACTGTGTAACTGTGGTTACTTTGTAACTGTTGTTAAAGAAGAACAGACCAGGAATTAGAAAACAATCCAGGGATCTTAGGGCTTGGAGGCAGCATGGAGAATGTAAATATGATGTAGTTGTCATCTCAAAAACTATTGTGAAAACTTGAGACAGACTCTATGGTCATGAACTCCAGAGAAAGGGATTTGTATTATAGCACAGTAAAAATTTTTCATATATTTTCTCTAAAGATCAATGTCTTAATAGAGAAAAGTCCTGTTAAGTAGGGCCACAACATTTTGCCCAGATATTCTATTGTAGAAGAACTACTGTAAATATAGCAATTAGGTTTAAAGATAAGGTCATTCCTTTCCCAGATTCCTTTTTGCATTGGTCTATGGACTGCAAACAATGGTCAATCAGGACATTCATAGAGCATCTACAATTGACTACCTGAATCCACATAGCTAATCTCAACTACTTATGAAGGGAAAAGTTTTCACCCTCAGTCCAGCCTCTCCTTTCTGCACTGTCTCCACCAGCTTCAATAAACTCTTCCTCCTATTGTGGGCTGAGGACGGAAGGAATGCTCCATATGCAAATCCTTTCCCTGCAACTGCAATGCATAGTCAACTACATGACTCACCCGCAAAATTTTAAAACTGTGAGGGGGTACAATCATTTTAAAAGAAATTTTGAAAGTCTAATGTACAGGACAGCAAGGTCATTGCCCTGGACAGCAGCAGACCAAGGCCACCTGAGTCAACATAAGAGAACTTGTCTCAGAAACTATTTTCCTAACAGGATGGAAATGCAGCTGTTCTAGAATTAATATAACTTTCATTGAGAAATCACTTCGAACACTGACGGTGCCAAACTGTAATGCCTCCTTGAAAGGCTTGATAGAGGTTGTTCTTTGATATGGGGATGTGCCTGGTGTCTGGTTTTAAATCAACAGTGGATTCTTTGCAATGGCTTGGACCCAAATATCTGGACAATCCAGTTGAACAATGTGTTCCCTAGCATCCTAAACTCTAACAGCCCCGGTTAAAATACGTTTATCTTTTGGGTGATTTAGAAGCAGTCTTCCCTCAACTAAATTCTACTTTGGGAGACTGAACTATTTCCAAGGCATTGGCGAATTCTTTGTATCAGCAATTCTCCTCTTCTACGTTGCAGCTTGGAAGTGCAGTGCTACCCAACAGGTGAGATGCCTTGATACCGTCCACATAGTTAAATATAAATGGAGATTGTATGTAAAGGTTATATGCAAAGTGCTCAATATCGAGAAGATACTGAAGAAACGAGGCTTCCCTGACTTTGGCATATTGAAGTTGACAAGTAAGATGTTTGTACACACAGCACCCTGCTCCCAATTCTCTAAGCCGATTAAACCCAAAGCGCACAGCTATTCAGAGGTCTGTCCTTAGGTCTAGGAATTAACAGGACTGCATGGGACTTCACAACACAGAGAATATGGCGGCAGGTTCCCACCCGGATCACGAAAGGACACAATGTACTGTACTGTCTACCGCACCTCACCCTCCGCTCCTCCCCATCTGGAGACAGCATTCCCCCGCTCACCATGTTGTCGTTTCTCAGCTCGCCAAAGCTCTCAGTTTATCAACTCCCTGCAGCAGCAACTTTACCGCAACACAGAAAACCAATGGTGCCAGCTCCTCTGCAAAATCGAGACTGAATGAAGAAGCCCGGAAGAGCCCTGCATCACAGCTGACTGGCAGGTCTCCTGGAGGGCCTGATTGGCTAGCGAGGCCTGAGTGACAAGAACACCTCCCACAAGACTGAAGTGTGCTTAAAGAGACAGAACAGAGATTTGGGGCCATTCCATTCACCTGAGACATCATAATCTTGCACTCCATAGGAACTTTCCATTTTACCTCCAGAATACGACGTGGCCAGTTAGCTTGTGCAGTGCACTGTGCTGTGTTAGGTGGGTCCAGGGATTTCCTGTCCCACAGGGGAAAGAATGCCCAGAATATAAACAGCTAAGGAGAGTTTTAAGGTCACAAAAGGAGATGTTTGGCTTCATGCTGAGGTCAGATGAACTGAAGGTACTTTTTACATGGTTTTCACAGGGATTCACACAACAGAAAAGAGAAAAGCAGGAGCCTGGTCTCAAACAAGGTGGCAGGTCTTTCCCCCATCAGAAGGCTGGATGATGGCTCCATTGCTTTACGGGTTTTATTACTGAAATTCAAAGCAAACTCCAGGAAAATTAATAATAATAAAAAGAGTAGTGTTCATGGAAATGTGAATACATAGAGAATAATGGAGCTAGAAGGAATGTCTTCATGAGCACTATTGTTAGCCAGCACATCTTCCTCCATGGTCAGGTGAATAAAATATACAACTGCAGTATTCAAGATTCTCTACATGAACAGGACAGGTAGAATGAAGCTCACCTTTATGCAAAAAGTGGGCTTATTAGAATGTCTCACAAGCTGTGTTTCAGGTCGTCTAAAAATAGCTACTTATAAATGACAATTGAAGAATCCAGTAGATTGCTTCTCAATCTTTTACCAAAGATCAAGTGAAGAATCCAGTAGTTGTTCAGCCCATGAGGCTTGATGTCTCAGCTGGCTTTAAGTATTCACCAAAAATTTCAAAGAAGTAGTCTCTAGTACTAGAAAAGGAATAAGCTTGGTAGCCAGAGCAAGGTGATAAAAAAAAGACTTTCTACTTCAATATACTTTCTATGTAACTGCTGCTACCAGAAGGTGAGAAGGTTAAAGTTAGATCATAGTCTTGTTTGATTCAGATTTTCTTGTTTTGGTGATTTCAAGACAGGATTTTTCTGTGTAGGTTTGGAAATCATTCGGTAGGCCAGACTGGTCTCAAACTCAGAAAATCCCAGTGCCCTTTGTTGTGCCTCCAAAGAGAGACCACCAGATAGGTCCAGACTGTAAATAAGCAAGGTTTAATCAGCATAATGCAAGCATGTTTGGAACTCGTCTCCACCCCCCTTACAACAAGGTAGAGAGGAGTTGTATCTCCTCTGTGGGGTAAGCTTTTAAAGGCATAACTACAAAGAGGATCTTTGATGCTGCTTTGGCATGGGTCCAAGGACTTTTGCTCCCTCCCATTCTGTTAAGTCAGCCTTCTCCTTGTTCTTAGAGCAAGGCCACTGTCCTTGAGTTAGGCCATCTTTAACAGCCTGTACCAGGTGGCTGGCTGGGCTGAGCTAAGTGACCTTGTGCTTGGAGTCCCCCCAGGTGGGAGAGGGGAAGGCCACTATCTTCCTGAGAAAACATTCTGCTAGGAAATTTCTTCTCGCCCCTTTGAGAATAAGGGGTGAGGGTACCACAACTCTTGCTCCTGAGTCATGTTAAAAGTGTGCATGGCCACCAAGCAGCTAAAGATGGGTCCAATTATCTCAAACTATCCAGATTAATGGAGAATTTTCCCATTTCAAAACCTTTAAGTAAAATCTCTCTCAGGTATAATTAATTCTTTGTGTATTAGTTAATTCCAGAGGTAGTCAGTTTGACTACGAAAAATAGCCATTTCTACAGCCAAGACAAAAGAAATGAGAAAAAATTATTGCTTGCAGGAGGCACAAAGTGCACGGGAGTTATTTTCAAAACTGTTTTTCCTCAACAAAGGAAGAATGGGGATTTTACTTAGGATGTCTGAACATGCTCATGTAATGTTCTTCCTTTTCTTTTTTTTTTTTCCAGGTTCTTCAATTTTATTTATTTATTACGTACACAGTGTTCAGCCTCCATGTTTTGCCTACAGGCCAGAAAAGGGCACCAGATCTCATTACAGATGGTTGTGAGCCACCACGTGGTTGCTGGGAATTGAACTCAGGACCTCCGGAAGAGCAGTCAGTGCTCTTAACCTCTGAGCCATCTCTCCAGCCCCCTGTTCTTCCTTTTCTTAAGCATGCTAAACTAACAAATCCACTAGTGAACATGATTACAATGTAAAAACAGATATTTAGGGACATTCCTATGATGAAGTCTTGTAGGAACATACTTAAATTAGACAAATGATGGAAAGAAATGTCTCTGGCATGTTCATATTTTACCATAAGGTCTTACTTGAAAATCAAGTAGATGACACTGTGAAAAGTTGATTGTCAATCTTGATGTTTGATCTAAAAGATAACTGTACCAACCCTGTACATCTCACAGACACAAAAGATAGAGAACACAAAACCAAAAAACTTCAAGGAAAAGTCACCTAACAGCCCTCTATACAGTGCTCCTGGATGAACAGTTATGATAATCTCTATTAATCTCAGAGCAAAGCTGGTTTTTCTCTGAGCAGGGTGGCAGCAAGGGTCAGATTAGCAAGGATTTAGGCCAGCGCTGCCTTGAACAGATTTGGTGTCCTGTGCGCCCAGGTGGAAGCCGGAAGTTAGACTTTACTTGCACCTTCCCATCACTATAAACAGAGTAATGTATGTCACAGACAGTCAAATGACAAACTATAAAGTCCTTCCTAGGGCTTAGGCACTGTCCTACCCCACATTTCCACCTAAAAGGACAAGACAATTTATCACTAAGCACACCACTGACTTACAACTACCAGACAAACTGTAGTGAGATTATTATCCTGTACTTTTTCCAGTTCTCGTCCATGGCCTTTAATCCCTTGCCCCCTGCTGAGGTCTGGAAACTGAGAAGTGATTTATTAACAAAGACCAGAACTCTATAGACTCTCCTCTGGATGTACTTTTACCAAGGTCTGTCTGTCAGTGTTCTGGCAGAGTTGGTTCTCTGAGGGAGGGGTTCCCAAAATCCCAGCTCCAAGAAGGTAATATTAAAGATTTGAGGAAATGTTCTACAGCTAGATTGTGGTAGTGACTTTGTAATCTGTAAGTGTTAAAAAAGAATCTGATAAATTTCAGAACGGATTGTAATTGTTTCCTGTAGGGGAAAAAGGGAGAAAGAACAGGAAAATTATCTGCATTAAAAAATTTAAGTCTATAAGAGCTAGTTTCAGGACAGCTGGGGCTGTTATACAGAGAAACCCTGCCTTCAAAAACCAGAATAAATAAACAAATAAAAAATAAAAAAATTAGACAATTAGCTCGGAGTTGTGGCTTATGCCTTTAATCCCCACATTCAGGAGACACAAGCAGGCGGATCTGTGTGAGTTCGAGGCCAGGCTGGCCTACAGAGAGAGAGTTCTAGGATCATCAGGGCTATACATAGAAACACTGTAATAAAACAAACAAACTAAATAACCAAAAACAACCAAACAAAAAACGGTAGTCAGGTGAACACGATGGCTCATTCCTATAATTCCACCAGGTGAAAGTTAGAGACAGGAGGATGAGGAGTTGAAGGCCAGCTATGGCTCAGAAGACCTAGCCGCTCACAACCCCCAAGACAAATCCCAGCACTTGGGGAGGGCAGAGGCTGACAGTTCAAGGGCAGCCTTGTCTATCATAATTAGTTCCAAACTAGCCAAGCTCTTATAGTGAGATTCTGACTCTAAATAAGTAAGATAAAGTAAGCACACACATTAAATTTACATTAAAACTGTTTTTGCATTTTTACTATATTCCTTTATTTTGTTATGTGTGGCATATGCTATGGCACGTGTAGTCTAAGAAGCTGTGAGAACAGATTCTCTCCTACCGTAACATGGGTTCCTGAGGATCAAACGCAGCTCTCCAAGCCGTTCACACTCCATGCAGCATCGCACTATTCTGCTGCAGAACTTCCCAAGTAACTCCATGCCCACTGACACTATCCCATTACACTCCAAGCTCAGCAACCTCTTCTCTTCTTTCTGCCTTTACCAATCTGTCCATTCCACAAAGACGTCCACAACTTCCAAACATCACCAGCATTGTCATATCTGGCTATCTGGAAAATGTGTATGCATGGGTACCCAAGCCCACGGAAACCAGAGGGGATCCTGGCTGTTCTACTCTATTACTTCCTATCCTTTCCCATCAGACAGGGTCTCTGAGTAAAGCTACAGCGTATTTGGGCGAGATGCGTGGCCAGCAATCACCAACGTCCTCCTGTGTCTCCCTTCCCATTATAGCAATGGGGTTACAGACACACGCAATCACACCCAGCATTTTTAAGCTTCCTTTCTATGTTATGTGCATGGGTTGCCTGCATGTGTCTGTGCACCATGTGCACACAGTAACCAAGGACAGTAGAGGAGGGAGTCAGATAGCTTGAACTGGACTTACAGATTGTTAGCCACTAACTGTGTTAAATGGGTGCTAGGAACTAAATCCTAACCCCCATCCCAAACATGAGCAACAAATGCTTGTAACCACTGAGTCATCTCTCCATTCCACACCTGGAATGTTTTATGTGACAACTGGGCAGGGCTGAACTTGTAGTATGGCCCAGAACTCATCTTGTCTCCAGGAGTACTCGAAGCCAGCACTGGACAGAACCTCACTTTTTCTGGACCATGATACAGAGCAGGAACTTGGGGCTCTTGCCATTTGTCATCACACCACTCCAGTATAACCCAGGTACCTACTTGGCCCTGGTATCTACCAATTCAGCCATCAGTAATGCTGAGCACCTACCATGTGGCTGGCTGTATTTTAGTCCTGAGATACAACAGGAAAGAGGAGAAGCAGATTTTCTACCTTGGGGAACTCACAGGACATGGCACTTATCTATCTCCCACCCAGAAGAGGGAAAACTGAAGGCTGATGTCTAGGTCAGCTGAGATGTTTCCCTATGAAGAGAAACAAAGAGGTGACAGGAAGGTCAAGGTGTCGAGTGGGACTGGAAGGAGGAGAGACCCATCCTCCATATGGAAGGAAAAGCACTCGGTGATGGGAACGGCAAGTGCCAGAGGCCTGGGCAGGATTCTCCCAGTGTGCTCAGCTCAGTGAAAGCAGGATGGGGAGGACACAGAAAAGCATCTAGAGCCAGCACCAGGAAATGAGCCAGGGAAGTGGGAACGGCTGGCAGCTACAGCTTTGACTACTACTACCTCTTTTTTTTTTTTTTTTTTTTTTTTGTCTTGGTTTTTCAAGACAGGGATTCTCTGTGTCTGTCCTGGAACTCGCTCTGTAAACCAGGCTGACCTCGAACTTACATAGATCCACCTGCCTCTCCAAGTGCTGGGAATAAAGGCGTGCACCACCACTGCTTGGCTCACAGTTTGACTTCTAAGGCTTGTATTGCGAAGACAGGCAGCTTCCAACAGCAGCATCATCCTTACCTTGATAAACCACAGCAATTCCTCCAAAACGCCCTCCCAGAACACTCGTTTGGTGAGAGCAGAGGAAATTCACCTGAAAAATAGGTTGTAACATAGTTCAAATGTGGTAAAATACAGCAAGCCATCATTCAGCTTTCTCTGTGGAGGGAAACGACCTGGGGGTGGACACACACACACAGACACACACACATACCTGGATTGGCTTCAGGAAAACTGGAAACTCCCACCCAGCTTCGGGCTAAGTCAGTGAAATCACAGGTCTGCATTGACACAGGGGTACCCATATGGCAAAGAGAAAAAGTCCTCACCCACTACTGAGCCACTATCACTGTCACTGGTGTTTAACAACAACACCCAAATTGTGGCCTAGACACAACCTAAAGGCTCTCATACCCAAGTCCACCACGCTCCAGGCAGAGCGATATCACTCTGGTAAAAACTGAAAAAGTTTTCAGACATTTGGGGAGCAAACTGACCTAGCATCAGAAAACAGAAATGTTTATGCCTCCGAACCTGAAGGCAAAACAGAAGAGACAAAGGGGCAGGGCAGGAGCTCAATCAACAGACAAGGTAAAGAGGACAGGCTCAGAGTATATGTTTGTCAGAGAGCAATACTTTCCTCTTTACCGTCTACATGGTCTACGTGGGAAAGCTGAATGCAGATTAGAGAAGAAGAATAACTTGTCTACAGTATAAGCAGAGGAGAGGGACTAAAACTGGGCATCAGAGTTCTAGGAGGCCCTGCGCACTGGGTTAATCCGTGCAGTAGCTGCTAAAGTTCCCTCCTCCAGACCATGCTTGAGATAAGTAAACCCTCACTCAAAGTCTTGTGCTTGATGCTTGGTGCCAGGAACCCCAAAAGAGCACTTCTTCCCCGGGGCCACTCTGTAGGCTTACACATCCTCTGAGTTGCTCTATAAAATCCAAGGCTGTTTTGGAAAACCCCAGTTTCCACCTCAGACTTGGTTTGTTTTTTTCTGTGCCTCTTTAACACCGCCTAAGCTATTTTCGCGCCACTTTTTAAAACACGGCAAAGGGGAGCAGGAGATAAGGGGAAGGAAGAGGAGGAGCACAGTCGAGACCTCAGGGCAAGGTTTGGGCAGGTTTCTTCTACTCCGACCCTCGGAGATGCACGACCAGTTGGAACCTAATGGGGGTTAGGAACAAGAAGCCTTAAGGACCAGGTTTACCTGCAGTAGCTATCACCTTGAGGCTCTAGGGCGGGAACGCAGAGCGTAGGATTCTTTGAGCCGGGGTCAGACTTACCGAGGCCGCCAGCCCCGCGCCTCTGCGCCCAGCCCGTCGCTCGTCCTCCCGCAGTCCCTCCCGGTAGTGGGGACTGGCCGCGGTCACCTCTCAGGTTGTATGGCGCCTGCATGCCGAACACCGAAAGGTGCCTGTGCTCGTGCGGTTCTCCTCCTTGAAACCGCAGCGCATAATGTGCTCCACCGGCCCCAGATACTGCAGCTCCCCGTGCCGCGGTGCCTAGGCGCCCTGCTGCTGAGCGGCGAGCTGCAGCTTCAGTTGGGAGCTGGCGACAGTTAGAGGCAGTGTAGTAAGCGCAGAAGATGGGACCTTCCGCGTGCTCTTTTCCCCTACGTTTGGTGCCTCCCGCCCCTTCCTGCTAGGAAGCTTCTGACTGGCCATGATTGTCAGACCCCTGTCCAGGCGGCTGAATTCCTGCTAGCAGAGCAAACACAGGCTGGAGTTCCCAATTCTCTTGATTTATCCTGTCTTTGCATTAAGAGCTTATAGGTTCAGGGCGTGGTGATGCACGCCAGTAATCTCAGCTCGTGGGAGGTCGAGGCCAGAGGATCAGGAATTTAAGGCAATCCTTTGTTTCACGTCAAGTACCAGGCCATCCTGGGTATGAGAGATGCACACTGTTAAAAATAATGATGGACTTTCATTCTTTATAGTGTGTACATTTAGTGTGCGTGGTGTGTGTGTGAGTGTGTGTGTGTATCTGTTCACACACGCATACGCGCACATGCCCCATAGGTTTCTGCTCACACATTGGAAGTGTGGGACAACTCAGGCTATCAAGCTTGGTGACAAGACCTTTCCCGCGAAGCCATCTCTACCACTCTGCTCAACTTTTCAAATTTTAATGCCTCATTTCTCAGTTTTAAGGGAAGGCTTCTAAGGTAAATATTGGTGAGTAGAACCATTTGATGAGTACAAAGTGTACTGATACAAGTGTTGTAAGTGCAACAAGAGATCTGTATCTACCACTTTGTTGAGTACATTGTAGGTACCCAACACACTTTTTAAATTTTGCTTATGTCTGGGAATATGAAGAATAGGATTGGGGCTCTACTGAAATGTACTAAACACTACCAACTTTTTCTTCCGCTGAGAATTGAACCCAGACTTCCCACATGTTCACACCACCACTGAGCGATCAACCCAGCCCAAGCCTGTATTTGTTTTTCCCTGCATCCCATGTTTGTCATTTTTGCATACGGTATGCATTGGGTAAGAATCCCCCCAAAGGCCTGTGTGTTAAAAGACTCGTTGACCAGCCTGTGGTGTTATTGGTAGGAGGTGTAACCTTTAGCAAGTGGGGTCTAGTGACCAGAAGTAGTCATTTTTGAAGGCAACATTAGGATCCTGACTGCTTCCTGTTTTTCTTTGCTTCCTCCCAGCTATGAGCAAGCAGGGTCTAACTTCACTGCAGAGAGACATGATAACATGGTGTGTATGACAGAGTAAGGGGCTGTTCCCCCAAGACAAGCAGACAACTAAAACAAGCAACCATGTTCTGAAGCCTTCAGCCAAAATAAAGCATCTTAAGTTGACGGTCGCAGTGTAAGGAAACTGACACCATCCATCATTCTCCTGTCTCCGTGCTAAAACTCAGCTTCAAAAGCTCCAGTTCAAAATATCTATGTTGTTGGACTGGACACAAGCCATCTATCCTAACCACGTGAGTAAAAGCACACAGAAGCATTCACACTCCAGTAGCAAAGAGGACGAGCTCCCAATTCTTTGCTATAAATACCCATCGTCTTTACAAACCAAAAAGCAAAAGTAAGCTCCTTGTAGAGACGGCTGGTAGATCATTTTGAGAAGGTAAATAAGATACCTAAGCATTTTTAGGATAATGCAGAGAAACTCCTCTGGCAATACTAAGCTGACTCTCAAAATCTTTTTTTGACAATATGTGCCAAATAAAACTCAATATTTGAAACACTTAAAAATTTAACCTAGATGAATGATATATGCAGCCTCAAAGGGAAAAATAAACTATTAAAAGCACCGAGGAAAGTTTTCACTTCCACCAATGGAGAATAATTCATACTTCTTCCATCAACTGTATCTACTCATATATGAAAATACCTTTGATCTTTTACCTAAGGGTAGGCTGTATAAATATATGCACTTCATTCACAAGTGAACATACCCAGGAAAGGAGAAGGAAGACAATCAACATTCTGAGAAGTGAGGAGTCCCACAGTGTATTTCCAGAAGACTTTGGAGCTACATCTTCTGAGCCTGCTTACTGCTAAGGCCTGGGAAGTGCAAAGTTACAGAATCGACTGCTAAAAGGATGTTGGGAGGGAGGGTGACTAAACATACTTACTGTTCTTAAAGAAATAATATTTCCAAAAAATAGTTACCTTAGAGTAGCTTACAGAATAATAACAGAACCTGCAACGTACAGAGTACCATTATTTTGAGATTATCATTTGCTTTCTACAATGCCTTGGAAAGCAGTAAATACAGATTGAACATGACAGCAATTGTTCAATCCCTGACAGTATTAAATTATATTTTAACCTAATTTCTGGAAAGTTCTGCAGAAGTAGACTAAAAAAAAAAACTAAAATTTAATGTGGAAAAGTCTAGTGAAACAGCAATCAAAACACTAAGAAATTAACAGTATCCAAAGTATACTAACTAAAAATTCAAACGTCTCCACATCCATTCTTCAAACAAGTAAAGCTTTCCTGGAATAGGTCGTTGCAATACAAGATTGTTCAAAGTGCCTTTCCATATGAACGGCGCTTGTGGGAATAAAACCTCTTCAGGAGCTGCTTCATCACAGCTCCAGCTCCAATTTCCTCCGACTCCAACATCAGTGTAAGAACAGTTCCCATAAACAGGGTCAGGAAAGAGGGTACAGAGGAGCATCCATTCTTTTTTGTTTGGGGGGCAAAACCAACCAACATAAAGGTCGTCCAACGATGCCATCTGCACCTATCCCCCTCACCCATGACAATCCCGCAAAGCACTTTTAACCTCTTTGCTCCGCTCCTTGGCCCTTCAGGTCCTCGGAGTCTGAGGAATCCGAGGTTTCTCACATCTCAACCCCGGTTGCAGAGGCAGTGAGCTCCGGGTTCTACAGGAAATGAAGGAGGGCACGAATCTTTAGAGGGCAGAGGGAGAGGCCCTGCGGAAACCCGGAGGCTTGCAAACTCGTGAGCAAGAGAAACCCAGCGGGATGGAGAGGCTGCTGTACCGGTTCAGGGATGAGGACAGAAGGGACAACGGGCACACTCGCTCTAAGAGACGCGGAAGGGCGTCAACTCGGCCAGAGCCGAGCCGCGAAGCCGACTTACGGTTCCTTCTCCCAGCGGGGACCGGCTGGATCCCGCAGGCTGCAGGTCTCCTCCGCCGTGGCCGCCTCCCTCTCGCGCCGAGCCGGTGACCTCGGGTCCGCCCGTCCACCCGGAGCCGGAGGATGCGCGCTGGAGGCCGCGGGAAGCGCTGCGCGAGCCCGAAGCCGGGCGAGCTCACACCCAGCGGGCTCCGCCGCCGCCCACACCGCGAGTGCACGGTGGCCGCTGTCCGCTCCAGACGGCCGCAAGTGGCGCGGACCCTCACGACCGCGGACCCCGCAGAGCGACCCGGAGGGTTTGCCGCCGCACACCTGAAGCAGGCTGGGGCGTAACCCCGGAAGTCATTTCTCGGCGCGGGTGCCCAGAGCGGGGAGGTGCGGGCTGAGGTCTTCGGGGTCCCAAGTCCGTGGAGGGTGAAGAGCGGCGGGGGCCGAGGAAGGGGAAGGACGGTGGAGAGCAGGAGCCCAGACCCGAACTCCCGGGGCGGCGGCTTCTGCTGACCACCGAGGGGCTTCCTGCAGCAGGAAGTTGGGTCGAGCCCCTGGTCCTCTTAGAATGGCAGAGGAATAAGATGGTGGCCGCTCGTCAATGCGCCTTCTTGTCATGAGTTGATTGAAACAATAATTAGTTTGCTTTAAATTCTGTGTAGAAAATGAACAGCTACTTCATTTCTTCTGTAGGTGATTTCTAGAAAGCATTGTTTTCTGTAATCGCCATGTATTTTGTAGTGTCTCTACAGTCCAATGCCTTTTAAAGAAGATTGCGGTCTTTAAGGCGTCCATATATCTTATCGTTTATATTTTATTATGTTTTAGTCGTTTATCGAAGATGAAAATAATTGCTAAACAGGAATGTTTGAGAAAAGCCTCTTTTTTCACTTTCTGTAAGCAGTTCTTCTGCATGTAGTGGCTTTCCAGGAAGATCTTATTAAAATGTTTGAACTGAAAAAATTCCATGGACTGTAGAATGGGAATGAATCTTTACTCAAAACTTAAAGCAAAATGAAATGTTTTCATCCTAATGTTTCAGTGTAAATTCATTGAAATACCTTAGTTTCTTTGGTAGAAAATCAATGAAAACTTCTGTAATTAAAAGTTTTTTTAGTTAAAAAATATTTGTGAAGAATACTTGTTATGATCTTATACTAAATTTTATTTGAAATGCTATAACTTACTGGTATTTTAAAAGAATTTAATTTTGATAATTATAGTGTGTTAAACGCTGAACAAAATGGGGGGGAGAGGAAAAACATATTTAAAGTAGTAAAAAAAAAACACACAGTGGGAGGTGATATGACTAAGACAGGCTAGAATACAAGTTCCAGTTCAGAGTATGAGGAAACCTTGGGGCTTGTGAAGGGAAGAAAGCAAATGCTGAAGGCAAATCACTGCACATTTAGTATGCGATTTTCCCCACATGTACTACAGCGAAAACCACATTTCCCTTCTCTTCTTCCCTACTACCCTCTTCTTTCCAAACAGCAAGTCCTTTTCTGCCTTTTTTCTGATCAGCCTTCAGCATGTCTTTGGTCTTGACCCAGTGTACCTGGCACGGGCTTGGTACTCTCCTAAGATCTTGTGTTGCTTACTCCTTTTCCCCACACCTAAAATACTTTACTTTCTTCACCTTTTAAGTTCTGTCCTATTTAAAATCCCATTCAATTTTTTTTTATTTTTTCAAAATACTACTTAAAATTTCCTTGGACTAGATTTGTATCTTTTCTCTTTTCCAATAATTTTTAGAGTTTACTATTTTGATCATTAAATATTTGAAGTACCAGAGAGATGGCTCAGTAGTTAATAGCACTGGTTGCTGTCAGAGGAGCCGGGTTCCATTCACGGTGCATACATGACTTATAACCATCTGAAATTACAGTTCCAGGAGGTCCAGAGGCATAGCATGCAAACGATTCACAGACATATATGCAGGCAAAGCACCCGTACACATAAAACAGATTTTTAAACATACTTACCAGTCCTAATCTTACTGATTTGCTATGCTAACTATCTACTTAAAACTTACAGCATTCTATAACTTACTCGGTGTAAGCTTTTTTATGACTTAATTTCAGATTCTCAGGTGTTTTTTATGCTGTTAGTTGGTTTGGTTGTTCCCCATGGTGCTAGTAACTGAACCCTGGGGTTCTTGATGCATATACTTCCAAGGGAGCTACACCTTCTGACCCAATTTTGAACTAAAGATCATGTCTTCTGATTTCTAACTTTTGTACTTTTTTTCGGGTCTCCACCTCCCACCCCCTTTGGTTTTTCAAGACAAGGTTTCTCAGTGTACCTTTGGAGCCTGTCCTGGAAATTTCTCTGTAAACCAGGCTGACCTCAAACTACAGAGATCTGCCTGCCTCTGCCTCCTGAGTGCTGGGATTAAAGGCGTGCGCCACAACCGTTGGGCTAACTTTTGTACTTTTTAATGGTATAATTATGCCATATTTTTCTCTTGTTTTGAGAATATGTTTCTCTTAGTTGGTCAGAAATTGAAATATTTAAATTGAACCAAAGTAATACATAAAACATTTCAAGCATTCCAGACACTTAGGTCAGTATCTTAATACATTGTTTGTCCTCTAGATTTCCTTCGGGTATCCTGTAAAATTTGAATTTTTAAGCATTTCAGATGGGTTATTTTTATGCACATTTTATTTTTTATAGGTATGGGAAGTTTGAGGCCACTCGCATATTACTAGAGGAAGGAAAGTGCAATCCAAACCTTTTAAATGGCCAGCTCAGCTCACCTCTTCACTTTGCTGCTGGAGGGGGGACATGCAGAAATAGTGCAGATCCTCCTAAACCACCCAGACATTGACAGAGTAAGTTATTTTCTGTTTTTATATTTTAAAGTTTTCAGCAACTAACAAGTAGTGATACAACATTTAATTGTATACTTGACATGTCCACTAACACCAATAAATTTTACTATATAGAGTATAATGTATATGTTAACTGTGCTTTAACCCTAAGTTTTGAATTGTTGTTATGATAAAACACACTTCACCCAAAAGGTATTCTTTTAACAACTTAGATGCAAAGTTCATAGCATTCAGTACATTTATATTGTTATATATAGTCATTGCATACATCTCCAGAAACTATGGAAAATTCATTTTCCATCTTATTACCCACCTCGAACATCTTAAAGAAAGAAAATAATTTACCCATCTTCTACAATGTGTGCTAACAATCGTTTGGTAAAAGGAAAGTAAAACTGTGGAAACCGTTATTAAATCTATGATTTACATTTTAAAAAACATAATCCTACTAATTAGTGCTTTGAGTTTTTTAGCTTTTCCAATTTTTGTTTTAGTATGCATTAAGTATGGTTAATATTTACTTAATCCTTAACCAGAGTATTTTTATAATACTTTAATTGAATAAATTCCTTCAGAACAGCATGTATTTGTAGTATCTTTTGGTCTGTTGCTCCCTCCATCCTAGCACATAACAGACCAACAAGGAAGAGCCCCATTAAATATTTGTGAGGAAAACAAATGAAGTGACTGGGAAGAAGCTGCAAGGTTGTTGAAAGATGTTGTTAACCAGTACGAATTGTCTGAGCAGCTGGAGGCAAATGTGTAAACTGATCATTTTCTGTTGCTTGTTTCACTCTCTACTCTCTTGGGGGCCGGCCACCCAGCTCCCAAATAAACACACAGGTGGTCTTCTTTCTTATCAACGCCAAGCCTTAGCTTAGCTTCTTTCTAGCTAGCTCTTCTTAAATCATCCCGTCTATCTTTTGCCTCGGGCTTTTACCTTTCTCTATTTCTGTTTAACTTTTGTTTCACTCTTACTCCATGGCTTGCTGTGTAGCTGGGTTACTGGCCCCTGATGTCTTCCTCTCCTGGGTCTCTTGTGCTCCTTCTTTTCCCTCCAGATTTCTCCTTCTCTTTATTCTCTTAGTCTGCCAGACCCTCCTATCCTTTCTCTTTGCCTCGCTGTTGGCCATTCAGCTCTTTATTAGGCCATCAAGTTTTTTAGACAGGCCAAGAATCACAAGTTCACAGAGTTAACAAATGCAACATAAAAGAATGCAACACATCTTTGCATCAAATTATGTATGATTGTATTTACTATGTTTAGTATAAGTAGTTCTGCTCATTTATGTGTATTTTCCTCCAGCAAAGTTTGTTTGTAAACAGCAGAATTATACACCATTCATTAATAATCTTCAGCAAGTTGGTGTATGAGGAACTCATTTTCCTCTCCACAAAAGTGAACTATGTGCTTTCCTACTTTTGTGTACGTGTGTGCATGCATATGTATATTGTGTGGTTGGTTGTGCTCATGTGGACACCAGAGGGTAATGTTAGGAATCTTTCTTCACCACTTCTCCACTTGTTTTTTGAGACAGGGTCTCCCTCTAAAACTAAAGCCAATCATTGTGTCTAGCTTCCAGGACCCTCCTTTCTTCCCTCCTCTAATCCACCAACTCTGGGGTTAGAGACACAAGCAGCCATTCCCAGGTCCGGCCGAGGGCTGGAGGCCTGTGTCCCTACTAGCGCCAGGCTGCCGGGAGAGGGGGGGGGGGCCGCGGCGGCTTTTAGCCGCCGAAGGCAGACAGGGTGGGCGGGCGAGCCCAGGCCACCTCCATCCCAGCAGCCTCCAGGTCCCCGCCCCCTCTGGCCCCGCTCCGCCCCCGGCATCGGAGACAGAGGTTAAATCGGAGAGGCGAGCGCGGCGAGACAGAGCGCACGGGCGCCCGCAGCAGGCTGGCCGAGCTCCTTTTCCTTGGTCGCGCTTGAAGGTGGCGCAGGCTAGGCAGCCTAGGCACGGAGCAGCCACCATGCGCTAGAGAGTCCGCCCGCCAGTGCCCTGCCTGCCTCTTCCCGTGCGCCCTGGATTGGACCCCTGGCCTCCGCCTGCAGCCCTGCCACAACCTCTAGGCCGGCCAGGAGGGCACTGATCTCCGTTAGCGAAGAAGGCTGGTGGCTGCCTGCTGGCCTTGACTCTGACACTTTTCCAATCTTGCCTGACCGGCCCCTCGAGCTAGGAGCCCTTCCCTTCGGCCTTCAGGTAAGTCGGCAAGGGGTCCGGGCAGGGGTTGAAGGCCAGGGTCCCTACTCGGCGCCAGGCTGCCATGGCGGGGGGGGGGGGGGGGGGGGGGGGGGGGGGGGGGGGGGCGGCGGAGAGCGCGGCTGGGAG